CCATTTCTTCACAGAGATGGCGAAGTGACGGAGAAAGAGAGAGACGAAGATGGCGGGCGATGGTGATGAACGAACAGAGAGAGAGAGCGCAGAGGTGGCGATGGCGATGTCAATGAAAAAACGAACAGAAAGAGAGAAGAGACCGGCGGCGAAAAAACGAGCAGAGAGAGAGAAGAGAGCGGCGACAAAAAGTGAGAAAAACCGAGGAGAGAAAGAGAAAGTTTACTTTATGAATAAAATGGCAAAATAAATGAATAATAAAAACCTTTCTTTATATAAGGGGAGTGAAGTGGAAGAACAAAATTAGGGGTGGGGAGTGCAGAGGAAAATAATTTAAGGGGGGACTGATTTGGAAGTTCAAAAAGGGGTAAGGGATTTAAGTAGAATTTAATTTCCGTAGTTTTTTTATTAATATATATATATTTTTTTTTTTCGGTTGAAAAGAAATGTTGTTTTTTTATATAAAACATTATATATATATGTTCGGTCGGTTCAATTATTTTGGTTATTTTAAAAAATAAAACCGACATCGAACTGAAATATTCAAAATTTTAAAAGTAAAAAAGATAACCGAACTGACATATAAAATTCTTACCAAACATGTTATTTAGGTCCTTTTCGTTCGGTACATGCTACGCTAAAGTGCAATCTCACGGCACTAATATGCATCTTATCTAACTTCATTGTGCATTATGCATCACATGTATTTTTAATGTGCAAATCCAAATTATTATGTAATTAATAATTTTTAATAAAATTATAAATTTGACCTACGAACTAAATTGTAATTTATTGAAATATGAAATTGCAATTAGGTCATTTGAAATTATCTAATTCTCAAAGGAATTCCCTAGGTCAAAATCCAATTTCCGTCGTCCTTTCTGTTTCTTGTTAGCCTTCTTGCTTGACCTCCGGCCGGCCCCGCCGCTCCCCGCAAGATTTGCTCTCGTCTTCATGCCGCCGCGAATCGATGAGTTTTCGTCAGATCGGGCTTCAGCCCCAACTATGGGGCAACGACGGCAACATCGCCTTCTCCATCCTTGCCTGCGGCTGAGGGACCTGCAGAGATCTTCGGGTTAATTTTTGACGTTTGTGGCCTCCACACCCATTCAAGATGCGACTAAGGAACTCCGACGATGCCTCGGCTGGAGATGCATGGCAAGACTTACATGAAGCGGTCCGAAACTCCGACAATGTTGCTACCTCCTCACCCATTTGCTGCCTTGGAAATTGGCGGGCCAATGTGAGGAAAATGACAGTGGGAGATGGCGCAACCGACGACAAACCGATGGGGTTTGTGCGTGCATGAGGTGTGTCGTGTGTGTGCGTGTCTGTGTGAGTGATAGGATGTGGTGGGATTGTGAGAGATAGTGTGGGGTGGAGTGGGATAGAGTCCACTAGTGGGTTAGATTGTGTGTATGACTATGACGTATTCTTATTTCTTTACTGAATATTATTCTCACCTTAACGCTGACCTGTATATATATTCTAATCAATTTTCCTCTTCATCATGGTGATATTCAATATTTTCTTCTTAATATTTGTGATTCAAATACAAATGGCCCCTTTCATTGTTTTGCACTGGATCCTCTAAAACATTGAACAGCCCTGAATATATCAGCAAATAAGTTCTCACCACACAAGCCAAGCCATGCGTGACACCTAAAGAAACCATCAAATTTCACAAAGGAGGTTAATTTAAGACTAAAGAGTAACTATAGCAGATAAGAGTTATACTAAACATTGATAATATACTATAAAGAATAATAATATAGATAAAAACGTCTTGCTTTTTAACCGTGGTTCGATTAGTGTCAGCCGACAACACTCAGCAGCAATGCTGAAATTGCTACCCCTGCAAGGATATATTAATGTCTGCAGTCGATTTTCTCGGTCTCTCTGTAACTTGTGTGGGCTCCCAATTGGTGTTCGGGCTTTCACGGCTGGGCCCTTGTGATGCATTGCCAAAACTTATGACTCGCTTGTCGAAATTGACAGATGGGCCTGGGGGACCACTTGGGCCCGACCTGTCGGGCGCAAATGGGATTTCCATTTTCTGCTTATTTGGTTTTAGGACAGGGTAAGTCTCACCCAGCAGAAAACTAGCAACAATCACCTGAGAAATAAAAATGAAAAAAATTTATAAGAAAGGTGAAAATGATCGATGCCTTTGATTGTTAACAATGACCATTAGTTTGGGGGATTTTGAGTACTGAACTCTAGAAATATATATAAATATATATATATATATATATATATATATATAAGCGACACACATTGATTGAATCGAAAATGTACCTTTATAGGGGAAGCGGCTATCGTGTGCCCGCCAATGAAACCTCCAATTACACGACCATCAGCTCCCGCCAAACTAATGGCCATTGTGCCACACCTCCCGAACTTGGAGTCTTCTATCTCGATCGGATTAAACGATCCAGTGAAAGAAAGAATTTCAAATAGACCCTAGACAAATGAATAGTTAGAAAGAAACCCGATTAGGTCAACACAAGACCAAAACTGTAAAAGAGAAGCAGTATCAAGTCAACCATGCTACAGAAAAAAAGAAAAAAAAAAAACACGCATTTTTTAAAACGTTTAACACGTAAAATATGAAACAATTACGAATGCGTACTTTGACTTTATATATCAACTGTAAAAAAGTAAGATCTCTTTAATCATAAACCAAGTGCTCCATATGTTGCTGTGCTTCTCTTTATCCAGACAGTAGGAAAAATCACAAATGTTCGGTAAATTCATCGATAGATCACATCTATGTAATATCTTCAGTTTAGCTACAGATCATTTCGTTTGCTAATTTACTGATCAAGCTCACTAACTAATACTATTAAGTATTGACACTATTATATATTCTCAAATGAATGACATGAGTTCATTAGTTTAAACACAAGGCGAAATCAAGATAATGAAATCAGTGGACCTCATAAGTACAAGTGCCTCCAGATGAATTAGGATGTCTGATTGTTATACTTGAAACTGTCCCATTGCCACATAACACGCAAACACTACGCGGCCCACGTTGAGAGAATTCCACTATCTTTGCCGAGATGTCCTAGCAACCAAAAGAAATCAAGTGGTAAATACAGTTCATAATATTAAATACTATAAGGTTCCATAACAATATTGCCTTTTTAATTTCCATTTTGCTAGAGCTACCAAAAGTTTCATCTTCATCTCACTACATATACCTCGCCAGCATTCACAGTAATCACGTGCGGCAAAAAACTTGAACCCGTTAAACAATCGTCCCAATCATCTGCCAAAAAAGTAGGAATAAAAGAAAAAACGAGAAGTTTCAACAAACAATTTGTACAAAGTTTTTACTTTACTCAGTTGATAGCAATTGAAATGTAGTGATAAATCCAAAGCCAGTGATATATATAACATTCTCAAAAAGATAACCTCATTATTATCAAAATACTAAAAAACTTTCCAAAGTAAAATTTTACAAAACTACTTCTTTACGGGACCTGTTCTTTGAACTCTACAAACTCTCAAAAATGTTACAATTTCGAAATTACCTAATTTTTCTGCTCCAACTTTATTCCTATACTTCCTCTCGGAATTGATCGGGCGTTCAAGACTCATTTTTTTCTCCGCCACACGTGATTTGGTGGGTACGGGTGGAGCTGACGAGGAAGGCGAGAAGGGCATGCTCGTGGGCCCTTCAGGCGCATACTTTCTTGGCCGACCTCTTTTCTTCTTAGCCTGGCCTTCGTGTATCACAACTGCAGCCGAGGGAAGAGTTCCCGGGCCAAGATTATCAACCCGTGGGCCGAAATTGTAACTGGATGAAGAAGCTCCCGGAGCAACTAATGTTACTTCAGACGCCATTGCTTTTTTCGCAGCATCCATTCAGATGAAACTTATTTTTGAAATTGTTAACCAATGCAAGAAAACTGGTATTCCTACAAAATGAACATGATCGTGAAGAAATACAAGGTCAATGAAAAGAAAATGTCGAGTGTAACATCGATCAAGAGAAGGGAAACATAGCGAAATTAAAACATTAGAGCTAAATGGTGTTTATTTATTTTTATTCGGTTTTCGCCCCTTTTTTTTCCCTTTATCTAGTTTATTTGAAAATGGAGCTATGAAAGGTTGAAACTTGAAAGGAAGACTGAGACTAGAATACAGATAACCCATGAATTCAAACATAACAACCACCCAACATAAATATAAACACAAATTCTCGTGTGAGCCAGCCAAATCCTAAGGCGGGTCGACCCGTCATACTTTTTTTTTTTCTGGAAAAAAATGCATACTTAGGTCTGACTAACATCAACCTCGTCACAAGAAAAATTAGGGTAAATAAACAGTAAATGCTAGTAATCTAGCAAGAGGCAACACCATTTTTCATCACTGTTCAGAGTTCAAACACTCTACACAACAGTAAAAATCCAATCTTTACCCCCAATCACAACCACAAACACCATTCCAAGAAAGCAAATCATTTCTCCAACTTTAACTAACCAAACCATGCAAAAAAATAAATAAATAAAAAAATTACTAATTAAAATCAATCAAACACAAAAATGATGAATGAAGACCACAAAAAGTGACAAAATTGACATAACAATTTTTATTTATTTATTTTTTTTCACA